CATCTACGTACTTACATACACAACACCAACCTAAACTTTTAGTTTAGTAAATTTTTACATGATTCTTGATCACTAGTCTTTTCGTATAAATTTACTAAATATAGGTTGATTAAGAATATAATAGTGTGTTACTCAGTGATAACTGATTCGTACCGTACGTGATGAAAAAATATAGGAAATTAAAATATTCGAAGAGAGAGGAATTAACTAGTAACTACCATGGATGGTCAAGGTCAAGCTAGGTGACGAAAGTCAGGCGGGTTCCTTTGTTGAATTTTTGACATTTCGACTTTTTTATTCGATTGAATTTAGTTTCGTAAATAAGAATTTGATTTTCTTTGTTAGTACATTCGTGATCAACTATTATAGATTAGTCCCGACACGTCCGTCCACGGTTTGATAATGTTTTTATCTTCCACGGTTTGAATTCATTCATTAACAGTCCATTCAAATAAATTAATGTGCATTCTAAAACCTATATACTTAATAATCATTAGTATTTAAATAGAACATATATATCAGTTTTTTTGCATTTGAAATGAATTAAGAATAAGGTTCTCATTTTAACACAGCGTACGATTAGAGTATTATGTGGAGAGTCAAGAAAGACAACAAAACGTAGATAACGTTCACTATTCACTTAATAAACAAGTAGAGTATTTTACTTACTAGATTATATCTCAATAGTTTAACGAACATAATCAAAGTTCTTTAAGAGAATACAAACACTGATTTAATAGATTAGTAGTATTATATTACTACTAGAACATCTACACAGAGTATTGATTTGGGGTCACATCAATGAATGGATATGATATGCTGAAGAATACAAACACGTAATCAGTTTACAATTAATAATAATTTTGTCTTTTATTTAACAGTCAAACAATCAACATCCATCTGGTTAAATACTTGACGTTTTCAAGATAAGCGTCTCAGATACTAGAGAACAAGTGTGGGCGTATTTTTGGAAATCGTGGCCGTCTTTTGCAATTATGGACGGTCGTTAATTAAAATATTAGTAAAAAGCCCATAAGCCGCTCATATTGCAGGCCCATTTATGGTCTTAACGATTTTAAAAATGGGAAGCCCAATTTTCATCCTTTTGGATTATTTTGTTGCCTCGAGTGAATAATACTAGACATTTATGAGAATATACAAAAAGTTATGTCCCAAATAGGCTAATATTAAATAGGCGTCAAATTTAGGGATAATTGGCAAAACAACCCTCGAACTAACCAAACTTTATAAAGCAAACCTCAATCTTTTTTTGTTTTAATTTGTTAATAATGGGTAGCTTTGTAATTTTAGTAGGGTGAGAATTATTTTGGAAAACATTAGTTAGTTGGAGGATTCTTTGCAAATCTCCCATTTTGTTTTTCTTCTACTGTGTGTGAAGTCAATTTTGTTTTTGAGCTCCAAAAGCCCTAAAAAAA